ATTTCAGATTTCAGATACGTGTGTGTGAATCAAAATTTATTGTTTGTATCATTTGAAAATAAATTGGCTTTATATCATTGTTGTTTTATTGAAATTAATGTTCATGCAAGAAGCCCAATCAGGTAGGTATAGAATTTTTCAAATTTTAAGAAATAACTCAAAAGTTAATCTTTTTGCGTTAAAAAATGCAGATAGTATGTATATGTAGTCAGAACATTAAAAAAAAACATTTTTTACTCTCACTTATGTGAAAATACATTTTTTTAAGTCTTGATAGGCAGGCGAAAGCGAAGAAAATATTTTGTCAATTGAAGACCCTGATGCAAGAAGGGGATAAGTAACAATATGTAAATTTTTCAGGAGAAGCAAAAAAAGTTTTTATTTCAAAATTAAATTTTATGTTGCTCATGAAGTATGGCCAAACTAGTACAACAGCTATATATGATTTAAACAGCATTTTACAGCCAAATAAGAATGCTATTAAGCAAAAAAAAGTTGTGGTGCAATAATGGGATAAGTTTAAAACTTTTTATAATGTAATTTACAGCAAGTGCAAGAAGGGGATAAGTTGCATTTAAACTATTTTCAGCAAAAAAGTAATTATTATTCAATGTGTATCAACCTCAGATGAATATAAACTGAAGTAATATGCTAATAATTTTAACATAAAGTCAAATGTTTCTCATGAGAATAGCCAACTATCATCAAAAATACATAGTTTTAAAGAAATAAAAATAGTGTTATCAATCAATCAGACTCAAAATCACCAGAGATATTAGTGTCCTGTGATATTTTAATCAACTTCTACTTCTGCTAGAACTTGAAGGCAGGAACTCACTGCCGGAACTTTGAAATGGTTCATTCTCCCAACAGCCTGAGCTCATAATAATGTCCTATATTTCAAATAATAAAAAATAACGCAATATTTCAATGCACTGCACCCTTACTTAGGTACCAGGTTAACTTATTTTTACTGTCCAGAAAGCTGTCTCTGATCCAACGGTTTTTTGGTGACTACCTGACTGAGGTTGTATGCACACATACCTTACCTGATCATGCAAACAAAATAGCCGGTCCATAAATGGGACAAAATTTCCCACATATAAAAATAATACTAAATTTGGTGCAAGAACGGGATATGTTACACAAATCTTATCCCATTATTGCACCAGAACCTACCAGGGGATATGTGGTTTGCTATCATAATTCAGTATCTGTTAAGCGTACGTATCCCAAACTTGCATCAGGCAAGAAGAGCAACTTTTTAAACCTACATATGCAACTATCTCACTTTTGCAGATTTATGCACTTATCCCCTTCTTGCACTAGAGACTTCAATTGTGTTTTTTTTTTTAATTTTAAAATATATTTTGATCCGACCGATGCTCCGCTAATGATCGCTTTCGTCGGGCCGGTCACAGTCTAAGTGTTGAGCACATGTCCACAAACTTGTGGAATAAATAAACAAACCCATTCATAAAAACGTTGAGGGGCTTTGTTGATGTTGGCCGAAACATTTGGGTGTTTTATGAATGACTATGCAAATCTAGGTGTAGCCTGTATATAATCTAAGGTACATTCAGGCTGATTTGATTCAAAAGTGTTGGAGAGTCAATACCTCCTCTAATAATTTAAAAAAAAAAAATTAAGCCCAATAAGTCTCTTCTCTCACTCAATCGAGGCAAATTTAAATTTCTTTCAATGAGGCTATAGTCATGATCTATGATCCTAACATTGCTTCTAAAGGCAAATACACGCAAAAATGTATGTTGGACCCTTTCCAAGGAATCCGAATGGATTTGAAAAAATGGCGACCATACCACCGAACAGTATTCAAGCACAGATCGAACTAAGGAACAGTAGACCATTCTGGTGGCTTCGATAGAAAAGTTCTGTGTATTTCTCAAAATAAAACCCAGCAACATAGAATGTATCCAGTCCCTTAAAGCAAACACCATCAAATGGTTCACAGACGGCTCCAAAACTGCTGAGGGGACAGGAGCCAGAGTATTCGGGCCACGAACCAGATACTCGGAGCCAATGGGCAAATCACCAAGCATATTCCAAGCCGAACTTCATGCGATCGGAGAATGCGTGCAGTTCAACCTGAACAGAAGGTACCGAAAACGGGAAATTGTAATAATGTCTGACAGCCAAGCAGCTATCAAAGCATTGAGCTCGCCGGTAATCAATTCTAAGATGGTATGGGAATGTCTACAGAACTCAATGAGCTGGGGAAGGAAAACAAAGTAACCCTACTATGGGTTCCTGGACACATAGGAGTCGAGGGCAATGAATGCGCAGATGAACTTGCAAAAACGGGAGCGGTCACCCCCTTCACTGGGCCAGAACCATTCTGCGGCGTCGGAAATGCGCACCTCCAAGAAATCCTCAAAAAGGAAGAGAACCGGCTAAGGAACAAACAAGAAGCAAGAAAAGTCTCAAAACTCTAACCGGGTTTCTCTCGGGACATTGCAGACTGAATAAGCACCTTCATAATCTGGGGTTGGAAGAAGGTAACACTTGCAGATTCTGTGAAGACGGGGAAGAAACACCTCACCATCTTCTACTGAACTGCGATGCCGTAAGCCGCTCAAGAATGAAGAACTTGGGAAGTCCCCTTATACAGCTGGAACACATTCCAGCCCTGGAACCGCTAGACATCCTAAAATTCCTAAAGGACCTAGGACTAGAGGGGCTGCTTTAAGCAGGAAACCCGAACTTAGCAGCAGAAGGGGGGGTACAATAGATCAACCTTGGTCGCAGTGCAACTGACACCTCCAACACATACATACATACCTAATAGGCCAGGAAAGAGAGTTTGAGCCTCGCATGCTGTCGCTGGATAAATTGTAGAGCATTTAGTCCTCTTCAATTTACTATGAAGGTATTTTGTTGTAACACGTAGCGGATGCGCTAAGTTTCGGAAAACCAAAAAAAAAAAAACGACCGTCAAGGGGATGCTTGAGGGGATGTTCCAGGGAAAAATTTGTTGGAAAAAAATAGACCCATAATAAGCAGCCCTTGTCCTACCAGAAAATAAATAAAACAAAACTTGTGTCGAGTTTGTGAGGTTCAACCTCTCTTTCCTGGCCTATAAGCCTAAGAAAAACGCTTGGAAAAACGTATTGACAGAAAGCAATTTAGGAGGGGCGGCTCACTCCAGAAATCGCTGTACATTTTCATCCGAAATCCCTTGAAATTTTTTCGAAATCATGAAATCGCGAAATCCTATTCTAAATCCTTATGAAATCCCTCGTGAAATCCCAAAATCTCAACCGAAATCCTTCTAAAATCTCGGAATCCCAAACGAAATCCCTCTGAAATCCCGAAATCTCAACCGAAATCCTTTTGAAATCCCGAAATCCAAATAAATTTATCGAAATTCTCGTAATCTTTAGTCGTACGGCATAGAAAGTCGAATAACCGAAATCTTTCGAAATCCCTTGAAATTTGTCAAAATCTTATGCGATTTCCGAAATCGATGTACAAATTTTGGTGAGTGAGCTGCCCCTCGGCAGTTTAAAAGGTATATTTTTCCATGAGAAGTATTTACATACTTGCCAATCTCGAAATTCCACAGAATAAGCTGGCAAGTTGCCTTGAGGCAGTTACAAAGAAATGAAAAGAGAGAAAAGATAGGCAATAAATACTTACTTAACAATTTTATGATATTATTATTGGATTTGTATCCTGAAAAGTAATTCAGAAAAATGTTTTGTGGGCGAGGAGATAGGGCAGATAAACGTCCAATAGATATGTGCAAGGTTTTGTTGCATAATTTAAACTCATAATCAGCTATTTCTAAGTGTGCCTATGTACATTTTTACGTATAGGGCACACATTGTTAAAAAAAAATCCAAGGACTTCCCCAGTAAAATTTCAATTCAATTAATGGTAATTGGGCTACATTTATAATGCAAATCATTGATGCTTGACCAACCTATTGCTTTGAAAAATTTATAATTTTGTGATAATGTTTTTTATCACAAAATTATAAATTTTGCCTTCATTGTGAAAACAAGAACTTTGAGGCCCATAGAACTTGGGTAGAATTTTATACAAGATTTTATACATAGATTAAGTACGTCATTCTAGCCCTGAAAGTTGACAGATTAGAAACAAAAAACAAAAGGGCGTCCAAAAGAAGGTCTTCACTGAATTCATAAACCTGCCCTGGGCTAGTTTTCTTTGTCTCTGACAGCTAGAATCTGCACTGAGAAACAGATGTAAGTAATAATAATAAAACACTTTGTTTTATTATTAGTTGTTTGTCTCTGAGTTTGTCTCCAATAGGAAGATAGATATGTTCTCTTTCAATCGTACCATTAGGAATGTCTCAGTTTTGTCCATATTATAGTTTTGTATTATTTAATAAATAAACTGATGATTTTATTTCAAATTTGATTTTGGCAACAAAATTGCTAGTACCTAGCGTTACCAAATTTCCGAGCAAATTTCCTAGTAAATTGAATAAATATTGCGTTAACAGCCTAGGTGCCTAATATCTTATAAACTATCATATTTTGGACAATGATAAATTTGGAGAAAATAACTTCATCATAATCAATGCATCACTTTTGACTTTTTCATTAGTTCAGAGGAATACTTTGAATAAACAAACCGGAAGGCAAACAGGACTAAAACAACATTGGTGAATACCGCAAAGCTGGTGAAAAAAATTCAGAGCAAAGGGCGTTGATTGTACCAGAATTAGAAACTAGCGAAGGAATATTTGGATGAATACTTAGCAGGACTCATTAAGATACTTATTGCATTAATGTTTAATTAGAGATGAAATGTTAAATTTATATAATTTTTTGGTATACATTTTAGTTCTAGAGGAAAATTACATCATAAGTACCTAATATTGACATCATTTTTGAATTTATTCACTTATGTAAAGAAACTCCAAAATTCATCTCCAATTAAGTATTACACTCAACTCAACAGGAGTGCTCAAAAAAATATATATTTGTATAAAAAAAAAACATTCTTACCCATGCCAGTGACTTTGCCATCAACAGGATTAAGCTGGTCGAACACCTTATCATATTTATCCTTTTCTCTGCTGACAATCCAGTCATGTTCTCCTGCACCTGCATCAATGCCCTCCCCCCTCTTGTAACCAAACGGTGAAGCATCCTCAACATTGTTGAATGCCCCACCAGAAACTTGACCATCCTGAACATTAGTTGTTGTGTCTTCCAGCGGTATCATAGCCATAAGTCTTGAAATATCGTCAGCCAGCATTCTGTCTACAATTTCCAAGAGTTTCACTTTTATTGGGTTGAATTTTGTGAAATCTAGATTCCCCAGGACTTCTTGCATTTTTTTAATTTCGGGGAAATCACCTTGGGATATTTGGTGTTCCCTTTGTAGTTTCTCGTATATAGTTCCAAGATTTTTAATTAGTTCTTTTTTCTTGGAATCTTTTCCGAATACTGAAGGCATTTCTTTCCTCAACTCAGCAATAATAAAGGCATGGACCTTAGCAAGCCTGGCTCTCTTGATAAGGTCATTCAGCTTTCTTAGAGCAGCATTTCTTGGGAGTGATTGTAAATCTTTGAACAGGTCTTGTTCTTCATCTTCAAACAGTCGTCTGTTAACATCATATCTTAAAGGTTGATCCCAGAAAGAGCCAATATAAACCCTGGCAACTTCAGGAGTTTGTAAAACTTTTCCTAATGACCACATGAGAGCTCCATATACACGCATAAGTTGCTGATGGTCTATCATATCAGCTTTGTTCAATACAATTCGAATTTTGTCATCATGGCCTCTCAGAGCTTCAATGGAACGTCTGAATTCATCAGAAATATCCAGTTTATGAGCGTCAAACAACAAAATTATTCGATCAACTCTCTCAGCAAACCATTCAAGAACTCCAGTAAAATCGTAGCCTCTATCTACACGCTGTTTTTCGCCAGAAAGAATACCTGGTGTGTCAACGATGGAAATATTTTTCAATACTGGAGAATTAACTAAAGAGCACTGTAGACGATTGAGAAAGGCATTTCCAAATTTTGAAAGTGGCCTAAATTGTCTCTTCGGATCGACTACCAAGGCATTACCAGGGATTATTCCTTCTTTTTCATCATGCATAACAGCTATAAATCTATCAGTTGTAGGCTCTGGCCCTATACGTATCCCAGGAAATTCCCGTTCCAGTAAGTATTTAATAAAAGTTGTTTTACCTGTAGAATACTGGCCAACAAGTAAGATCATGGGCTTTGCATCAAAATCCGAATCTTCTAACTTTGGACTATGGAATTCATGGAAATGATAGTGTTCTTCCAGAGGCAATAACTTGTTCTTGTAAATGTCCTTAAGACCATCTATAACATTGTTGTAGATCTCTTGCTTGTTGTTATCCCTTGTCAACCAACTAAACATTTTTTCGGATATTTTTCAAAGGCAATTTCCAAAACACTAACACAAGGGCGTACTTGCGGGGGCCTATAAGCTGAAGGCTGAATGGAATTGAGTAAGTATTAATCACAAAACAGAGGACGTATCAAGTAACCAAAGTTGACAAGTGAGCACTCGAGAACTGTGACCGAATCACTGACTGACGACTGTCTTGACTGAAGACAAAAAGTGACAAAACCCCTCTACTCTTAAAAAAAACAGGGCGTATTCTTTTTCACACTGGTGGATCCACCGATGCGAAGCCTATCTTTGTCTAGTTTATAGAAAAATCGGAATGACTATATCATATTCGTGGATTGGATACATCCGTGAAAAAAAGAAAGAGAAGGAAACAAACAAAAACTTTTGGAAGTACTTATTGACAAGTGAAAACTGAAGTGATGGCTTAGTTGTATCCCTTTCACACCTAGGAGGAGCTCCGGAACAGGTCCGGGGCTCCACGCGCTTATTCCTTTCAAAAAATGTTTGTTGCACCACGCATCTGTTGGGGGCTACTAAACACCGGAGCGAGTAGCTCGAGTGTTTCAAACTCTTGAAAGGAATACAACTAGTCCTTTCAAGAGCTTGGAACACTTGAGCTACTCGCTCCGGTGTTAGTTGCCCCCGATTTGAAAGGAAGAGATGCGTGGTGCAACAAATACTTTTCGAAAGGAATAAGCTCGTAACGCCCCGGAGTTGTTCCGGAGCTCCTCGTAGGTGTGAAAGGATTACAACTAATAGTTGTATTCCTTTCAAGAGTCTAGAACACTAGAGCTACTCGCTCCGGTGTTAGTCCACCCCGATTTGAAAGGAACAGATGCGCTGGTTTTCATGCATTTAAATGATTTGATTCGGGCTTGAGCACTCAGGAGCAACAAACACTTTTCGAAAGGAATAAGCGCTTAACGCCCCGGAGCTGTTCCAGATCTTCTCCTAGGTGTGAAAGGTATACAACTATTGATGGTGATGACACGTGATGACCACGACTGCCAACTGTAACTGTTGTGCTTCGAAAAACTTAGCGACGTATAGTTAGCATACAGTTGAGATGAATATTTATATAATAATTCTCAATCATTTGGAAACCTATATAGAGTTTGGAAGCCAACCGTATAAAAGAATAAATAATAATAATATCTAAATTGTGTCTTTTGGAGTGACTCCGAGGAGCTTAGGTAAATCTTACCCGAGTAGTTAGAGTGACTTAACTGGGTTAAGAAACGCCCCAACCAGGTGAATTCTGACATTTGTTATCTCCATTATGTTTTATGTTTTGATTTTTCATCTCGTACATTCGTCGTTTATTTCTTCATTTTCTTTGTGAATTGGATTTGTATTTGAGCATGGATCCAGCTACCTTTTTTAAAAACGTTGTGATGATGGTCAAAGAATTAAAACAAAAAACACCATGAAACTATCGCGCATGTCGAGCAAATTTTACCTATAGCACGGGCGTCTATTGTAAATGCAGCCCAGGGTGAACATAGCAACTGGACACACTTACCCTGGTGTTAAAACCAACCTGGAGGTGACCCGCTATTGAGAAACCGGCCCTCAGGTGCAACAAACACTTTTCGAAAGGAATATGCGCGTAACGCCCCGGAGCTGTTCCGGAGCTCCTCCTAGGTATAAAAGGAATACAACTTATGACGATTGACGAAGGCTGAGTTTGGCCTTACACTCGGTAAACTCCGAGCGCGCTCGAAACGATAAGATCTAGTTCGTTTCAGCTCTCATGGCGATTTTCATTTGTCAGTCAGTGCGCACTGAGTATATCCGCATCTTTTTCTAAAAGCATATAACATGTAAGGATAGGGATACATTTTTTTTGCACTGCAGAGTATTATCTTTTGCGTTCGGGTTAGAATCTAACACGTACCCTGAGTTTGATCTCTTTTCCCTATGTATGGGATGGAGAACCAGAGAAATTATATTAGCTGTCAATTTTTAAAAATTATAACCTAGAATATGTCAAAAAAAAAATTAATTTCGGTTTGCACAAGAATCGTAAAGATTGCCGAATCGGCTAAATCTGCCCGCCAGTGCTTTGACGTCCGCGGCAGTCCTTCATTGGCGCGTTTACTATGTAAATGCATAGAAAAGATGGGGAACTTGTAGTATTTTTATGGATTATGATTATGAATATCTAAAGTAGGCTGTAGGCATCACTATTTGGCTTTGTGAGATAAGCACTTACTTAAATGTCCATTATTGTCATTTTAGTACTAATCAAATTATCGAATAATTTGAGAAGAAGGTAGAGTACAAAATAAAACACAGTATTGCAGCCTTGTTTCGCCTATATTTCGATATTTAGAAATGCAAAAATGAGATCATTATTACACAAAATCATACATAAAACATTAACCCTTTTCACGTGGCTCCGGTTTAACAAACCGCAACATACCGCTCAAATTCGAGTGGTAGGTATTCATCACGTCACTTTGTAACCGGGTTAGAAAACGGTATGTCATTCCTCTAACCGTTTTGTAACCCGGTTAGTTAAACCGGAGCCACGTGAAAAGAACTATTGTGTTTTTTGACAAACAGAGAAACATTAGCCGCTTTCCAGCTGAGCCGCTTTCCAGTATGCACATTGGCGCACTCTAGAGCACCTCGGGGGCGCCACGCACTAAATTTGGACCGTTCCAGTATCATGACGTGAGACGCATGTCTTAGTGTCAAATATGTCAAATTTTAAAAATAATCATCTGTTTGTTTTTTTATTTATCATAAATGAAAGAGAATCAAAACTATATTTTTTAAAATGTTCAATCTTGAGATATAACAAGAAATAAATAAATAAATAGCCACCCACGGATGTGACAGCTGACAGGTTGACGCGGGAGCTCAACGCCCTGAGTAGCTCCGGGCGTCACACTCCCATACTGAAAAGCGGTTCTGACATTAGTTGTATTCCTTTCAAGAGTTTGAAACACTCGAGCTACTCGCTCCGGTGTTCAGTCGCCCCCGATTTGCAGGGAACAGATGCGTGGTCCAACAAAAACTTTTCGAAAGGAATAAGCGCGTGAAGCCCCGGAGCTGTTCCGGAGCTCCTCCTAGGTGTGAAAGAAATACAACTATTGTGTTTGTGCTTCAAGCACGGAGCACAGTGTTCTGTGTTTGAAACGCAAAAGTTAGCAGCTCTCGAAGCGCAATACGGCTGGAACACGAACACGCGCCTGAAGCATTTGAGCGCGCAAAAGCTCGATTGCTTGCTCAAAATGGTCAGCTGGAAAGCTGCTATATTAGGTCTGTTTCTGCAGAAATCACAAACCAGTCAGAGCAAATTTCATTGGCTGAAAACAGTCAGAAAACTAGTTTCAACCAATGAAATTCACTCTGACTGGTTTGTGATTCCTGCAGAAACAGACCTATTAATTATGAATAATTTGACTCAAAAGTCAATTAAAGACGATTAACCAGTCGGTTATTTTGACAGATGAAATATGCATTTAACGTCAATAACGATTGGTTGCAAATGACGTTTGCTTCATTGGTTATCTGTCAACTATGACCGACCGGGTAATCGCCTTTTTAATCGATGGCCGGATTATGAACATCCGCTACGTAAAATTTTCCGAGTCGAAGGCAAACTCGAAGCGTATACGCATCGTATCGAACAAAAAAACGATTACGAACACACGAATCGGCTTTGATCAGGGGCTCCAGCCGATACGGAAAAGATTCCGAGTCGAAGGTAAGCTCGAAGCGTATACGCATCGTATCGAAGGGAAAAGCGATTACGAACACACTTCGTATAGTTTACGATTCGTTTGTGAGTATGCAGCTGATTTGCTGTCAAATTTGTCAATAAAGTCAGTTAATTGGAAACGGCCGTCAGATAAACTCGTTCTGTTCCGAATTGAATAAAGGAAGGGTTCGCCTTGAAAACAGCAAAAAAACTGGCAAAGGAACGTAACCATCGAGTCTGCCAACTATACACTCAATTGATGATTTGATGATTATTGAAGTTCTGTTAGTTTTCAAACTCGGAATATCGGTTTCCAAATATTTCCAAACGATTGAGTATTATTTAAATATTCATCTCAACTCTGCTAACTATACATCGCTTAAAAACTTTAGGTATTTAGTTCCAAGAACACTCGAACAAATAGAATTTGCTAACCTAATAATACGTACGTTCGCCCAATCTCGAGTCAGCAGATGGTGTGCGGGTGACGTCAACACTACTATCGGCAGCTGACAGTGACCCGCAGACCTCAATAAATTGCTTGCGATTCGGGCTGTGCTTGGAGTTTAATTTTTTGTCGATTTTAAATGTAAAAATGGGTGATTTTAACGTTTATGAATTATGTAGTTTTTTTGACCTATAGTGTTTTAAACTCAGATAATCCATTTCACGCCAATAGTTGAGGCCTGCGGCTGCCGTAAAAAATAATGAGGAGTTGTCGCGTAGACATGGCAGACACCTTCACTCAGCTCAATCAATAGGCAGTTCTATTTAGTTAAGTGTTCTTGATAAGGTTCCAAATTTCTCTTTGACTAATGGCATGACAACATTTTTGGAAAGAGAAGATAGATCGTTCATAAAGCTTCGTAGACTTGAAAATTACTCGGAACAACAAACAGAATAACGAACCAAACGGCAATCAAAACATTATTAAAGAGTTCTCGTGCCTGAGACGCGACGCTAATACGGTACCGCTAATAATACGGTATTTTACATGGTACATTTTATAGTTCTCGGTCACGAAAGGCACCCCCGATGACGTCATAAAGTTATGTCAATCTACCTCTCTCAAACAACCTTGAGCGCGACGCGAATATGGTCGAAGCTGTCGTTTCCAGCCAAGGATGGCTGTTTAAACCGCTGACGACTTAGTTATGACGTCAGAAATGGTGACACACCAATATGAATATGGCGGCGATTACCAAAAACGAGGTCAATAAGCAATCCTGTAGGTGTGTATCATCCTTGGTTTCCAGCTGGGTAGCGTTCGAAAACATGTAGCCAAGAGCCGCTTTCCAGTATGCACATTGGCGCGCTCTTGCGCGCTCTAGAGCACCTCGGGGGCGCCACGAACTAGATTTGTACCGTTCCAGTATCATGGCGTGAGACGCCTGCCTTAGTGTCAAATATGTCAAATTTTAAAAATAATTATAGGCGATTTTCAGCCTGGAATGATTATTATTTGGTTATAACCAATCCATTTCCGCCGTCGCGGTTTTAACCAAAGTAGGGGAAGTTGTGACGTTACATATCAGCTGATTTGCTTTTGGTATTTACCACTTATAACCGATTTTAACCCAGCTTTGGACTTGGGTTAATCTTTTGGTTACAGCTTTTTGATGTTATTGTTATTATTTTTGGAATT